TGTTGATCTCAGCCTGCCATGTACTGACCGAACGTGGCAGGTACTGTGGGGCATGTATTAATTTACAGGGACAGGCAGCTTATGTTGATATTGAAGTAAACCTCTGTGAGCTTTTGTGATCACTGTTAGGACGCCAGTGTGCAGATGGGGACTGTTGGATTGTTACCATCTAGATAATAACCGGAAGGGAGCTTCCCTACCATGCTCCTCAACTGACTCTTTAAACACTTGCCTAGGATCACGTTCAGTGACAGAGTAGCAAATAGTCTTCGTTCCGTTGTGGAGCAGACATCTTTAGTACACAAGAGCCGTACAAATAGTTTACAGTACTGACAACTTCACAAGGAGATGCATGTGCAGTAGAGTTCCCTTTATTTCATTACATTAAAGCACACAACCATTAAATACATTTGACACTTCTACTGTGCTATCTAAAAGCTATGCTCCAATGTACACATGGCACAAATCTGGTGGCATCCACTTCAAACCAGTGGAACATCTGAATCAAAGCTCAGGCTTCACATAAAAAATAGATCTTACTCTCTGCAACTGTATTCTTAAAAAATGATGCGTATGATGATGGGATTGAATGGAAAGAAAGTGGACTTCTGAAGCAACAACCACCCCTGATTTGATGCAGAAGGTAATCTGCAGATGGTACAAATGAAAGCAGATTAAGGCAAATGCTTCTTAAGAAAGGCGGTTTCTTGTAAACAACAAGGAAAACATTTTTTTCCCTCCTTCATCAGAAGCTCTCTCTCAGGAGTGACATTTGCTATGTCCAGGGCTCTCTTGGGAGCCCTAACCATCACTCTGCCATTCTCCATTTCTGAAGGGATACATGATGTTTTGTGGAATACCAGCTTGCAGCTGGCCAAGAGAACAGCGGAGCTCCCTCAGCTCCCCCGGACTCTCCCCATAGCCTGGCTGGCCTCTCTCGTGTGCTTGGCCTCTGGGCTTTGGTATCTGATTTGGCAGTGTAGTGTTTGTGACATTCAGTGGATTACCTATATCTAACTAGTCACCAGCACAACAATTCAGTAAAAAAAGGGTGAAGGTGTATTAGAAAAAAAGGTACCTTATTTTAAAGCCATATTAAGAGAAAATAAGCTACATTTCCATTTTAGGACCTGCTGTGCACAAATGCTTTGATCTCAAACTAATCAAGGTTTATCAATTGGCACCTACTTAATAGCAACATAAGTCACTAAGCAGTCATTTATGTTGTTTTTTTTTAAGGGGAATTTCCACTTGATGTAGAGAATCTTCTTATGTTCTGACTTGGAATTTTCCTGCTTTTGTAATATATTTGACACCTTTAAAAGGCTTGTACTTTTCTCCATACATGTCCAGACGATTTACTTTCAATCCTGGAAAACAAGAGTACAAAGATAAAGGCAGACTATTAAAAATCCCCTCAAGCTGTTGAAAAGTCTTCTCCATTTTCTTCCAGAATGTTAAAAGCAGTCAGGAAGCCAAAGCGACAGTTCTTGTCACCCTGTCACTAGCTGGCAGGCTAGGAAGTGGGGGGACAACTCCTATTTCTTCTACTCAATAAGTCAACATCCTCCTTCCCAGGGAAGAAATACTGAGCAAATGACCTCCTCTTCCTCAGCTTGTGCCCTGTGCACCCTTGCTCCTACTAAGAGGAAGGAGGCAAAGCAGAAATCTTAATTTCCTTCACACTTTAAATTATCATTTCAAGGACAGGCAGTCTTATCACTCGTGCAATTTAAGTGATTGCTAATTAAGGCCTTGAGTTTGCTTTAAATTTACTTTTGTGCTTATTTTATAGGCTTAATGCTGATTTCATGCTTAATGCTGATTTCACGTGCAGGTTATTTTGAAGATGAAAAACTAGATAGTTAAATGAAAAATAAACAAAAGGGTTTATCTTTAAAATTTATAGAGCTTCTTGAGCAGTAGAAAGGGCTCTAGTGGTAAAATGCTAAGGAAAATCAAGCAGCATTCTAAATGGCCATTCACCTTTTTCATTAAAACAAAACTCTGCATTTTTAATGCACAACCCAAAACAATTCAATTTTTGTACACTTTTTCACACCCTTTCTTGGGCAAAGGAAATCTTTTTATTTTCTGCCAGCAGAGTTAACAGTCAGGTTTAGGTTAACCAAGCTTCACCTGTTTGGACCAAGCTGAAGCTGACTGCAGCTCAGCATCTCCAGCTGAAAGAGCAGCGACAGGCTCCATTTGCTATTGTTATTCTATTGATTCCACCAGCCTCAATCTCACCTAACCCCCACTCACCTGAAATTGCAAGCTGTTGTATCTTAAACTGGATGTTTAGGCTTGGATTCTCCTCTGGCTTGGGGGCTCCGGACTGTAGGTTCACTATGCCCTTCAGACTTGGTAGCTTCTGAGGAGTAATTTTGCCCACGTCCCATGTCAACACCTTGTCAGGAAAGAGCAGAGCAGTGTCTGAGGAAGCCCTCTGGGAGGGCAGGTTCTGATGAAGCCCGGGTTCGCAGGCCGGGGGCAGTAAGCAGCCCAGCAGCCCGAGGAGCCGCTGCGGTGGGGGGAAGCCGGCGTGCCCGCGCTCCTGCACGATGGCAACTTCTCCTTCCAGCCCTCCTTTTGCCTCAGCAGGGCTCCCTAGCTGGCTGCGTAGCTCCTTCTCTTAGAAATAGCAGCCCTTTACTCACCCGCAAGAGCTTTTTTTGCTGTTGTCACTCTTGGCATAAACCATAAACCCTCTTGCTAAATGCAGAGAAAATACCCCTTTTCCCTCCTTGAAGAAGCAAGGGGTTGCAGCTACCCTCCACCTGCGTGGAAAGTACAAAGCACCAGAGCAAGGGGTTGGGAATTTGTACGGAGCCCGGCAAGAGGCAGCACAAGCAGCGCGAGCCTGAGGAACGTACCCAGCCCCACGGTGCTGCTCAAGTACATCAAGGTTGGGGTTTAGGCTAAACAAGTCAGGCATCACGTCAGTATACAGTATGCAGAGCTATGTTAGAGCTGAGCCTTGTCACAGCTTATCACAGATCAGGTTAAGAGGGAAAACAGAAGACTAAGTTCTGACAAAGGGGACAGAAGTGCAAGTAGGGAGAGAAGTTGTTCCAGGAACACAAAAACCCACCTACAGTTATCCCAGCACCTGGCGGGGCAAGGGGAATATAACACTTCTTTCTGTCAGTTAAGACAACCTTCAAGGTAGTTCTTTAAGAAAGATGGGATTCTGTTGCTTTTAAAACCAAATGCAAGTCAGAAAGCTTCACCTCCACTTCAAATCAAGTGCTGACTGAGAAATTCCAAGCGCAGCAGAAAGCCTGGAGCAGGGTGTTAAGAGCCAGCAGAGCAGCTCAGCTCAGACTGCATTCCAGCAAAATGGTTCCAGGGGCCTAAAAAGCTTCAGGAGCTCTGGGAAATTAAGGTCAAGCTACAACAGAGAGGCAAGAAAGCAAGTCTCCAAGATAGAGAATTTCATACTACTACTTCTCCATTTTTCTTCCTATATGGCTTTAGGCAGATCTTTTGGATAAGACCTGCATCTCCTTTCTCCTGTTTTTCTGACTACCTATTTCAAGGTCTGCTGCTTTTCCTGCAGATTAGTATGTTTTTTTTTGAAGTACATTGACTGCAGTACACACCACAGAAGAAAGCACCAGCAACATACTGCTGCATCCACTAGAGAAAAAAAAAAAGAGTGAAGGTGCAGGAGAAAAGAGATGGAGACAGGAATGGGTTGCGGACTGATATAATAAGAAATCACATCTTAAGATTGGAAAGGTGAACTTTAAAAAGAATGTTTCTATTCAAAACCATGCAGAAGGAATGTTTTGTGCTACGCACAGTGCACTGTTCCAGTGCTCTGCAATATGTACAACTTGCTCTACTGCAGTCTTAGATATTTAAACCAATAAAAACACCATACTTACTTTAGTAACTGGGTCAAACGTATAGGTGCCTTGCGTAGAAGTGAGGTTCATGTTGAGGACTGCCTTTGGCATGTGAACTGTCATGACTACTCCTTCTACTGTTTTGCCCATGTTCTGTTTTGGTCCAATGGTAACATCGAATCTTCCCGAAGAACTATTCTCCTTAAAGCTGATCATGTGTTTCACGTACACAGGAATCGCCACCAAGCTGAAGAAAGAAGACAGTAGGTAGGTGCATCGTGGCTATTCCTCTACTGGGGGGGAAAAAAGGTCTTAATTGATATAAACTTATGCTTCTCTGGTAGGCGTAAGTTAGAGCCAACTTCTTTCATTCAGGAAATGATACTCAGCTCTTCAACATCTTTGTTTAAGTGATTTTTGTTAGCGGGGAATCATTTATGAAAAGAAAAACACCTTAATCACTTTCTTTACACTTTGTATTTTTTTAAAGAGATCGTCTCAAAACAGCCATCAGTCAACTGAGACGAGGCAAATATTTGTGGTTTAGGTTTTTTTTTCTTCATTGTTTTATGAAGTTAGGAGCCTCTATAGATACTTAATCACAAAGATCTATCAGCAGTATCAATTATCAGGCGGGAATAGGCCTATATTACTATCACATGTGATTTATGCCACTGAACAGTGATTATTTAGTATCAGCAGCTCTGCTAAAAAGCTGTTGTCTTATATAGAGTAAGATGCAGCATCAGATTAGACAAAAAGAGAGAATATGGTTTTGGCAGTGATGCAAATTTGCCTTATAACAAGGGGAAATCTGCAGTTACCCACGCAGGAAGTATTAAATGGTGCTGTTAAAGAACCAGTTATGTCTAACCCAAACGTACTTCTGTGAGCTGACCCGGTAGGAGATCAGTCTGAAATTCCCATCTGGCGGGATGAACGAAAGGACTCGTTCAGACTCCCAGCGTTTGAACCGAATACACGGATGGAAGCTGACATCATCCAGCAGCCTGGGGTTCTGGAAGAGGGGGCAAAGCGTAAGTGCCAACTCGCAGCCTGGCAGCAATCTGAACGAGGCTACCAAAGGTTACTCATTTCCTGTTTCTTATATGCTTAAATATTTTTCCTGATTATTACCAAGACACATTACTCAGGTGGACTTCTAGTCTCACCTGGTACCAAAGTTCTTATATTATTGTGAACAGACAAAAGTCTGATAAAGTACTAACTTTTACAGTTGAAGGCAAAGCTTGATATGTTATTTTTTACATGTGTAATATATGAAACTGTTGTTGCATTACTTTACAGTTGTTTAAATCTGATCATTAAGCAGAACGAACCCAGAGAACAAAAAATTAAAACTGGCAAATGCACTGCTAA